AGGGTGTCCAGCAATGGGCAAAAGAGCTGGTGAAGGGTCTGGAACAAAGCAGGAGCGGCTGAGGGAGCTGGGTTTGCCTAATCTGGAAAAAAGGAGGCTCAGGGGAGACCTTACAACTTTCTACAACTACCTGAAATGAGGTTGTAGCCAGGTGGGGCTCATTCTCTTCGCCCTGGCAGCAAGCAACAACGGGAAATAGCCTCAGCTTGCAACCCAGGAGGGTTAGCCTAGATCTTAGTAAAACTTCTTTGCTCAAAGGGTGGTCAGGGATCGCAAAAGGCTGCCCAGGGAAGTGGTAGAATCACCATCCCTGGAGATATTTAGAAGATGTGTAGATCTGGTGCTTATGAACGTGGTTTAGTGGTGGACATGGCAGTGCTGGGTTAATGGTTGGACTCAGTGACATTAAAGGTCTTTTCTAACCTAAACAACTCCATGATACATGCGGCTTTAGTTCCGCGTACTGTTTTCTGAACATTAAATACATATTTGCTGGAGTTTTTTTCCTTTATTTTTAATATATGCGGATAGCGATTTTCCACTCCTTGCTCGTTGAGACCTGCAGAGGGTGTAGTGGCAGAGCATCCCGCGGCCTTCCCCGGGAGGTGCGAGGCTGTTCCCGGGAGTCCCTCGCCGGCGCTCCGGGCCCGGCCGAGCCAGCCGCCAGCAGCGGGCGCTGCTGAGGTCGCGGTCGCCGCCATCTCCCCGTGGCCCCGGCGAGCGGCCCCTTTCCGGCAGTGGGCGGGGCGGGAGCGGCGCTGCGGCCCGGCAGGCGCAGCCCGGCCATGCAGGCGGAGCGGGGCGGCAGCCGGGCCCGCAGGGAAGGGGTCCGGCACGGCCGGCGGCGGCCCAGCGGCGCGGCCGAGGCAGCCGCTGAAGGAAGCGGCGGGGACTGCCACGGTCGCGGAGGAGGCGGGGGCCGGGGAAGAGGCGGCGCTTACGGACTCCGAGGAGGCGGGGGCCGGGGCAGGCGAGAGCCCCGAGGTCGCGGGGCAGCGCCGCCGCCCAGCGCTCCCCAGCACCGGCCGGTAGGCGGGAGCAGACCCGCCCTCCGCGGGCGGCGGGGAGGCGGGGCTGGGGCGGCGGGGCCGGGGCGGCTCTTGGGGTGGGGGCACAACCCTTCCCTCCCTTGTTCCTCCCCTTCCCGAGGTGCAGTTGGGCTGGCAGCTCTTTTCCACGGCTCCTCCCGGGAGTTTGGTGGGGTGGGGTAGTGGGGCGTGCTGGGACTGCGGGCGCTACCTCTCGGGCCAGCCTGGCGCCTGCACCGGTGCTCTGTCCCTATCGTCCTGCCCTGGGTCGACTCAGGCAGCAGTAGTGTGCCTTGGTGCAGTATACACAGGGTTCTTTCTGGCCGAAATACGTTTATAATTTTGCGCGGAAGGGATAAAAGTCTTGTTTGAAAAATGCATCTGAAAAAATGCATCTCTGTTTACAAACAGAGGTGAAGAATTGCTGAGCATTTTCGGCACAGTTGATTTAATGATTGTGCTCGGATGATCTTAGAGATTGTTTCCAACCTTAACGATCCTATAGTCAGAAGTTGAAGTGAGCGTGTGTCTTGTCCAGCCTGTGGTACTGACAACGAAGGGATGGTAACATGGCTCATCTTACGTAACGGATATCTGTGATTCACTGGAACACGTAGTTACCATTAATACAAGTTAATGGTTGTGCTTTGACCAATTATAAAATATTTTAGCAGATTAAAAGTAGCACGGGTATGCCAATGTTTACCACAACTACATCTGCAATTTCCTGTGGAAGTACTAAAATGCTTTCCGTAACCTACCGTGGTGTCAGATCTGTGCCTTTAAAACAGTTTCCATTAAAAAATGCTTTGACAGTACTTCATCCAGATTGTCTTGCTTCTGTTAACATTGTTGCAACATAGAAATCATGGTTGTAGAAATCTGGATTGGCAGAGAGATTACAATGATTCCTACTGATTGGTAGTGGCAGCACTGGGAGTTCTTATGTAGATGAATCAGCTGCTACCCCATTTCCAGCATAATTCCAGATTAGATTTGTTTCTATTGGTACGATGCCATGGCTTCAATTGATTCCAGCTAGTATTTTATTTGTCTTAGAACTCCTGTGGTTGCTGGTGGATTTAAAAAATATAAAATACTTATTTTGTCAGTGTATATGGATACATTTTAGCACTCATGTTTTAGGAGGTAAAAGTGGCAGCTGGATTGTTACAGTTACCTAGAGCAATGGTCAGTGAATTCACATGTAAGCATTATAAATTGCTGAGCTCAGACTGATGTATGCAGACAGGTTTGGATCCTGGATGTGACACAATAGTGTTCCCTCATAAGCCATAGAGGCATATGGGGGAAATTCAGCACCTGTATGTATTAGCTGAGGAAACTTCTATCCTGGACTTGTTTTTTTCCAAGTCATTCAACCCTTTCTTACAAAGTTGAAATACATTCATATCTGTGTTCTTCCTGCTACTATTTACCCAACTGGACCCACATCATAATTTAAAGGGTGCATTCCGGAAGGAAATCATGTTGTATGTTTCTGCCTAGATTGTTTGAAGTATTTCAGGAAGCAATTAATTTTTTTTCTGTTGGGATAGCCTACAATATGTTTTTCCTGATCACTGTGTTACTAACTTGGATATGCTTTTCATCTTAGTCTAGCACAGTGACTTTATTTTCAGCCAAGGCTAATATGGGTTGGATCTTTAAAAGTGAAGAAATAGCTAAGATTTTCCCAGAACTCTACTAAAGACTATTCAAGTGTAATGCTCTTCCTGCACTGGAGGGTTTGGATATTGTGCACTGTTTAGTCTCTTAGCACACTACCACAAATCTTGTGCTTAGCAGCTTGGACGGGGTGGGCTCCCAGCAATCCAGCCACACTGTCAGCAGCTGTGCCAGCCTGCAGCTTCTGGTTCTAGTGCTGCCTCTAAGCCAATCCCATAATTCACCACTTGTGAAGCAGGGAGGACCTCCTTCTTTCATCTGCATGGCTAGCTCTTATCTGACAGGGAGTTACCACCTTTTATTCCCAGTTCCTTGGGGCTCTCTCTGTTCAGCAAAGTGACTTGAATTACACAAGTGCACCACCTCGGTGAGAGAGTGCTTGGCTCAGAGTAAGCAGTTTGTGTGAAAGAAGACCCCAATGGGGCAAATCTTTTGAAGTGCTGATGTGTGAATGGTAAATCTGAGAAGATGGGTAATAATACAGGGAGTGTGGTGGTCTTACCACATTTGCTTTCCTCACTATGTACTGAGAAGCTGAAATCTTCTCTGAAAAATCTTTTTTTATTTCCAGTGAAGTAGAAATTTGCATTAAATTGCATAATATTTTGGTATCTATATTTCTTAGTCAGTTGTGTTCATTTAAAACCACTGTTGATCTTAAAATTTTGTGGTTTGGACATTTTAATTTAAGTGTTCCTAAGCTTGTGTTTGAAGCTACAGGAGGACATTATTTCTGACCTGTACAACAGGGAGGAGAAGGTGTTACGGTGGCACATTCAGTTCTCAGTTTTGTGTGGACACATGAAGACTGGACACCACATTATATGCTTTACATTACTGCAGGAGTCCTGTAATTCTTTGGTTTTAATCATGGATGATCAGCTCTGTTACTTGCAAAGCTTATGAAGACCCAGTACCTGCTGAGTCAGTTCTTCACACCTTGGCTGTGTGCTAATGTAGAAGGAGATCAGGGTGCTGTTTGTTTATAACAATTGACATCATACCCTGCATGGTACCTACAGCTGTGGATCAGGATCTTAGAGATTAAAGTTTTCATGATTTCTGTCAGCTCTTAAGGAGGTAGCTCTTTGAGTAACTCCCCAGCTCTGCACTTGAAACAAGATGCTGCCTCTCTCAAACATGGAATTGGTTTAGCAAATGTGAGGACAAGTGTTCTTATTCCTGGTTAAGAGGGAAAAGGATCTTCCACTTATATCTTTTTGTAACTAATGTGCTCGTTGGTTTAACTGGCTTGATTACTGAAGATTTTGTGTCCTTCCTTTAAAAATGAGTCTAATTATGACCAGCTGGTTTACCAAATGGCAGATTTCTTTGTAGATCTGTCATCTTGAATAATTTTCTGTTGTTTCAACCTGCTTTATCTCATCTGTGCTGTGTTAAATAGATAAAACACGGTTGCAATTACCCATTTTTACTAAAATGTGGAATTATAATGCTTAAAGTAAAAGGTCCAATTGACATTGGCCCAGTATAATCTCTCACTTTTAGTCTAACTTCTCTAACTTGCTCAGAATTTTGCATACTGTCAGAATATTAGAATTGCTCTCTCTATGAGATACAAAATACTAAAACAGAAACAACTTTCTGAAACTGTGGACATGATACTGGGTCTTATTTTGATGGTCCTTTTTTGGGTGGTTTAAGGAGATTTTCCATTGTCCTTTGTGTTTATTATGTTTGCAATTTACGAAGTATTTTTTAAACTTTCTATTCAGTTATTTACTGAGTGTGCATGTGATGACACTACTTCAGTGCAGGTGAAATTGCCACGTTCCTTTTCTGGTTTGGGGCACTGATTGCAGTAAATATTTTAAAGAATGGAGGTTAACAGGGGGATTTTAGTGCAGTTTTTCTTAGATATGGTTAGTTTCAAGATATCAGATTTATTTAGTGTTTATTATATCTTCATTCTTGTGGGCCACACACATATAGAACTGATCTAAGAGAATATCTAATGCTGAGAACATTTAATGCTGTCAGCATTAGATAATTTTTCCTAATGAGTATGAGCTAAGTCTTTACATTCTAAGCAACTGCAAAAAGCAGTTCACAAGCACAGTAAAAAAAGCTTGCATTTTTCAAATGCAGATATGTTTGATTTCCTTTGGAACACTATAACAGAGCTTGTGCAAATAAAATAATAGATTTCTGGGTCTTGAAGACAGTAAATCTTTTGACACTTTAGGTGAATGTTCACAAAAGCAACTAAAAAAAATCTTACTTAAATTAATGTACATCAGTTGGTGAGCTGCACTTAATTAATAATGAGGTGTGAAGAGCTTCCCTTCTCAGGAGTTTATCTGCTGTGATGGTTCAGTGTCAAACTGGTGTTTGTTAAACAGAATTCTGCAAGGCTTCATTCTATATCTGCTCATGTTCAGTGTTTCTATTAATAATTCTGATGAAGGATTAAAATATACAGTGTTAAAATTTGCAGACAGTGCTAAACTGGCAGGAGGGTGGAGCACAGAACACAGTCTCAACAAATGGGAGAAACAGCCTGCAGTAAGGTGTAATTCAAGGTCAAATATAATACAACTACATTTACATAGGAAAAATCTGTAGAGATGTGTGACTGATTAAGCTGCAATTTTATAGAAGGAAACTGTCAGTTTAATGGATGAGAAGGTATCAATTAGCAATGCTATCACACTGAAGAATGGTTTTATTTTTGCAAGATTTGGAGCAGCTGGGAAAGTTCAGAGGGAAGGAATAAAGGAAGGAATGAAGTCTAGAAGATATGCCTAGGAGGACAGGCTCAAAAACCTGATTTTTGTTTGTTTGTTTGTTTTTGTTTGGTTGGGATTTTGTTTGGTTGGTTGTTTTTTCCTTCCGTTTTTTCTTTTTTTTTTCCTCTATCTGGTAAAGAGGACACTTGGAACAGGCCTGGATAGCAGTGTGCCATTAAATAGAAAGGTTGCTGCAAACAGGTCCATTTTAGGCAGGACAAGAAGAAAAACATTGTTAAGAAGCAGGAGGTTTAATTCGGGCCTTGAGAATAAAAATTGTGACTGAAAGGGTAGATAGTTGTGAAATAGATCGTGTAGGAAGTACATGGAGATCAGTACAGAAAAATATGTATGGTGAAGGTTACTGAGCCTACTCAGTAGAGCTGATGTGTAATCACTTGTCACAGTCCTATTTATTTTTCTTTTATTTTTTCAAGGCTGTCTATGCAATGGAAAAAGAGTAATAATTTTTATACAGTGAAAGTTAATTTATTCTTTGCAGTTTCTAGACAGCAGAG